ACAATAGTGAATAATTGCTATCAGGACTGATTGTGACAGTTGAAAATGTAAAGGTAGACATTTTGTAACAAAAGGAGTGGTGGCTGATTTTGCAGTCTAGGAGCGGAGGTACCTGGGACCATCCAGGGAGAAGAGCGAAGTGCAGGATCCTACCCAGAGAAACAGTGACACCAGAGATGGAGGCAAAGAAGATGAAGTGGAAAGATGAAAAATCTGGGGACTGTAGACCCAGGGAGGGAGAGGGGCTGTGTGCTGACGACCAGTAGGCAGGCTAGTGGGGTATACCCTTTGGCTGTTTGATGATTCATGGAGGGGATTGTATTCATGGCAATGAAACGAAATACAATAGGATGAATGTAAACCTAATGTTCTCCCAAGTAAACTATCACATAATTCACAATAAAAACTTAACAACAACAACAACAACAAAAAACACTGAGAATCACAAACCCTGCAAAGTTGACACATAATCCTAACCATCATAGCCATTATTGTCATCTCAGACTTCAGCATTAGTAATGCACAAAACAGTTGGATAGATTTTTTTACAATTGATGTCAGTGCGAACTGTGAATAATGAAATAGCAGTGAGAAGTGTATGTGGGCACTGACTGCTGTAGAGGATTACCTTATTCAGGTTGTGAGTCATGGGGCAAAAAAGAATCACGGTAACTTTCAAGACAAGACCATAACTTAGCTGAGAGGTCAATGATTTATTTATTCAAAAATAATAATTTGGGAACCATTATATGCTAGGGACTATGTTAGGTATTGTGTGTCCTGGTGTGGTGCTGCAGGTCCTCAACATCAGTTTGAACAGCAAAGGCGAAGGTTCAAACCCACCAGCTACTACTCAGAAACAGACTAACAGTGTTTTAAATTAACTTTTGCTAGTAATTAATTACTCAGAGAGAATGCCAGGCCAGACTACACAGTATTTCTAGTTTTTCTATATACTGTATGCATTTCTGATAAATGGGAAAAGAATAGATGACCTGGCAGAAGACTCAGACAATAATATGTGATTTACAGGACATGAATGCAGCTACCACAAGATTTATCTGACAGCCCTCTCCGATAGTGGACTGTTGAGTATCCGATGGAATGATTTCTAGTCTAGAAAGTCTACTACTGAGTAGCCATACACATTATTTATTTATTAGATGTTTTGGGTTGAAACCATTTTTAAATGATGCACTTCACAATGCACAGTCATAAATTTAGCTTTAAACCCAAGAAGGGAGGTAGTGTTATTGGAATGTATGTCAGACTGAATTAGGATGAGCAACGCAACGCTTTTATAAAGTGGCCTTGAATGCAATGTCAATTCTTTCAAAAATGATATTACTGTCAAATAAGCAAGATACAAGCACTTTATACAGTGCTCATGTAATATTATTTGAAACAATTATTTAGCATTTTCTTTAAATTCCTATTTATTCTAACAAGGTTTATACACACAGGCAATAAATAAGAGACGCCAATGAGCTGCATTAAAAAAAAAATCTGAAATGTAGTAAGAACTTGTTCGATTCTTTTTGTGTGATCAAAGAATATATGGCTTACTGAAGAACTATGCAGTCTTATTTTTAAGATTTAAAAGCCCAAAACCAAACCCACTACCACTGCGTCAATTCCTAATAATAGTAACCATACAGGACAGAGTAGAACTGCCCCCACAGTGCTTCCAAAGCTGAAAATCTTTATGGGAACAAAACTGCTACATCATTCTCCTGAGAAGCAGATAATGGATTTGAACTTCTGACCTTTCAAGGTAGTAACTGAGTGCTTAACCACTGAGTCACCGCTCCTCTTAAAGATTTAAAGAGAATTTGAATTAGGCTTTTGAGACAAAACAAATCTTGAATCATTTTACATGGGATTACATATATGAATAAACTTAATTTCATAAACCTTAAACATATATTAACTTTAATAAAAAGTAATAGTATACACAGGCAGTCTGTAGGTTATGTACATATGATTTATATACAACCTGTAGTTATGAAACAACCCCCACAAAGCCTATGACATTAAAATTCTGATGTACATAATGGTTCATAATAACAAACAAGACAGTTACTTTACAATGCATATCAAAACATTATTATTATTGTATTAAACATTATTTTCATGTATCTGAAAATGCTTTAAAGTTTTTTATGCATAGGAAGGTACTATATACAAATACTAAAACAAATCTGACTGACTTTAAATACAAACCATACCTAACTATTCCAATTTATGCATAAATCTGAAACTTGTTTGTAATTGGGGGACTGCCTATAGTGTACCATTATTACAATAACTATTATAAAATTTGTTGTTGTTAAGTGCCATGGAGTCAGTTGACAATCATAGCAACCATACATAGGGTTTCTGAGGAGTAGCCGGTGAGTTGAACCACTGACCTTGTAGGTCAAACTGACCTTGCGATCCACTACAGCAACACATCAGGACTTTATTAAAATAATATTGTAAAAATATTATTGTAAAAAATATATATATATTTTAAGGAAACTTCAACTTGCTGTTTTGCTTACACAATGTTAAAATTTACATAGGACAAAGTATGAAATGCTGCCTAATCGACTATCAGTAAATGAGTAGACATTTAAAAACATAAACCTAGTTAAAGCTTTATGGACATACGTAGTGATCTTAGGTTTATTCTTATGGCAGCACATCAAAACTGGTATTGCAGTTCTTAAATTTTTGCTCTAAACTGTCTTTTGTGATACAATATGTTTAGTTTAATACATTGTTATAAAGTATGTAGAAACAAAGTAAGTTTTGAATGGATTCAAGAAAAATAATCAGACATGGCTGATTGTCGTGAATTAACACTAACTAATTTGTAAAGTTCTAAATCAAATTTGCAGATGTTAAGTTCATAAGCATATCCCATTATTTATGTGATTAAAAAGAAATTTTTGACCTGATCTTTCGATCTTTGGCACTCAATCCTCTCCATCTCCTCTTAAAAAAGTAATTAAAATTTTAGCAAGATGGTAGCTTTTCACTTCCCACTCTATCTCAGGCTAAAAAAAATTATCAATCAAACTCAAGCCATCCCCACCCAGTATCTGCAAAATGTCGACTTGAAATTCAATTTCATATCTTTTAAGCTTTCATGTAGAAAAAGACAGTTCACTTCTTAACAAAATAAATCACTTTTGTGATTGCCAAGCTGACCTCTTTGAATTAGGAAAATTCAAAGTGAAAAATGTAATTATCACCCCGGAACAATCTGTATACATCTGGAGCTAATTCTGGCTTCATTTTTCACATCATTTTTCACACTGTGCTACATCTTGTGAAGATGCCATGGAACTTTTGAAGACCTAATAAAAAATGTTCAGGACTTCAAATACCCACTAATGTATTTTATTCAGACAAAAACCTTGGGAATTTCTGATTTCTGTAACTTACTTTATCAAGTGATCTTTGTATCCTATTTGATTAGATTAGTATTAAACAGCACTGTGACATAAATGACAAATGGGTATATTAAAGCATGTCATTCTTTATCTTTTCAGCTTCTAACATTCAAACATGTAATATACATGAATAAATACCTTTCGAATACCAAAGATATATTCAAATATGTTCAATTCTCCTAAACTGGGAAGTGAAATTTCATTATCAAAATTTATCAATGAAACAATGTCACCACTATACATGAGAAATTCATACTCTTATGAAGAAACAACTTCAACTGTAAATGTCTACTACTTAAAAGTCAGGGAAATCTCATGTAGTTATCAGAATAACATACAGTAATTCTATATAAGAAGTAATTTCTTCAAATCATGTAACATAATGGGAAATTTCATCCATTCAGCTTTTGAAGAAACAGTTTTCTGAAGCAGATGATTTCATTTAAAAACAAGATTCTGACGAAATCTAAGAATAATAAGCCCGCTGGAAACATAACTACTCTTCACAAGTTCATTATAAAAATCTATTAGTTGTAGCTCTAGAAGTAACTGTTCTTATTGCAGTTTATTGACAACACACAGTATTGATTTTTCACACCTCCTATGATTCTTTAATTTGTATTCATGAAATGTCCATCAGCAGAGTCTAAATAAATTTGGCAATATAGGCACGAAAATGAATAAATCGATGCAAAGAAACATTAATTTTGCATTATCCTTATTTGTCAGGCAAGTAAACCATAAGAGTTGTAAATGAAGGTCAAAGGTTTTGAAATGGGTCAGAACCCTTGACCTCTCAACCAATACCCTTCCTATTAAAAAAGGCTATTTTAATGTTTTAAGTAGGGGAATTTACTACCATCAAGATATCATTTTTTAAAGACTACAAAGAAAACTCTCAATAAAAACATTCATCTGTTTAATTGCAAAACAGAAAAGAAACATCACAGGGCACATGACTTTTATATAGGTTTTTAAAAAATCATTAAAGTTTACTACATGGCGTACAAGGTTACTTAACACTGAAAACAATTTTGCTTTTAAGAATTTATTTTCACATCTTATTATGATAGCTGGCATGTTTTTGTTAAAGTTTTCCCAAATCTATTGTGCATGTCAAAAATAATTAGCAATGACAAGGATTCAAAAGTATTTCTCACTCATTTTATAACCTCTGCACAAAAGGGAAGTAAACCTATGATTCCCAAGAGGGTCAGAGTGCCACTACACAAAGTATAGAAATAAATCTGTTTCTATGACCTTAATATACACAGCAAAGAAATTACTTAGTCATCTCAAGATCAAGGTTATGTATAATCTGGACATTTTTTATTTGACTCTGAACTTCTGTTCCCCATTCATCTGCTTGGGTTTCACAGCACTTGCTTAAAAATTATCTATTTATATTAGCTTCAAAGACAAGAAGTAATCCTTTTGCAATACAAATTATTTTTTAAACTGCCAGCTCAAGATGCTATTATACAAAAATTTTCTATACTTATCAAAGTAAAATCTATGTGAGAATTTACTTTTAATTCTGCATTCATTCTTGGCACTCACCTGAGAACATAGTAGCATAACCAATTCCACAACTGAACTACTAGACTTCATGCAAACCAGACCTATTTTAAAGAGAATTTAAAAATTATAAACAGCAAATGGGAGCGATTTATGTCATATAACTTTATCAAAATGAGGTTACAAAAATAGAATGCTAACATTTTGCTAAGAACCAGAACCATATACATTTCACCACATGGTTAAACAAGGTACTCCATAGTTCTCCTTTAAAGCTGGCATCAAAACTATCGCCATTTATGTAAAATATTTCATTCCAGCTTTCAAAAGACTAAAACATTTATTACAACTTCATATATAATGACATTTCACAATACTCATAGAAATGTGCACAACATATGCCATATTGATCAATATCATCTACATTTTGTTTTGGAGAGAGTTGATCGTTACACATACAGAGAAGGGAAATGGCTCCCTGACCTTTGCTTTCTCCACCACACTCTCTCCCTTCAACCCTCTAGCTATCAATCAAGTTTCCATTTTGTTTCATGGCAGCAGACATCCCAAACACTCTTATTAGTACCTTGACCTATAACCTCACACTAAACCTTAACAGAAGTGCAAGCCGTTGTCTGTTACACATTCAAGATTTCTTATAAATTAATTCATTTTAATTTTCTCTCTTATGTTTCATTTTGGTTCATTTGATTAACCAAAAATATTCTAAAAAAGGAACTGTATACAGTTAATACTCATCTCAAGAATTCTTAAGTTTTTATTACCAAAAAGTTTAAAGTAGTTCATCCAAAGGGCATTTATAACCTGCATCTAAAAAAAATAATAAAAGTAACACCAATACTTATAAGGACTACATTGTTAAATGACATTACTAATACACCAAAAATTTATAGCATTTTTATTCAATATTTTGCTAGACAAATACTAGCTTAGGTCCCAAGTCATAACATCTAAAATAATAATAATTGTTGTTAAGTGCTGTGGAATCATTTCCCACACAGAGCAACCCTATAGAGGGTTTCCGAGAAGTTGTTGCTGGGTTTGAATCATTGATCTTGTGGTTTACCAATCCAGTCCAGTTCTATAGTGTCACACCAGGACTCCAAAGTAATTACTGTTGTTGATGCTGCTGTTAAAAGCCATGGAATTGGTTTCAACTCATAGCAACCCTGCCTGAGGTTTCCAAGGAGCAGCTGGTAAATCTGAACAGCTGACCTTGCGATTCAAGCAGACCTTGCAGTTCAAACCAATATCGCCTTGCAGTACTTAGCCATTAGACACTCGACAGTACTTACCTCTCCTATTTTTTCTTTCCCACTAAAGCTCTTCTAGGTATCGTATCTCATTCCCTTTCTTTTATTATCTTGCTGTCCCTATAATTTTTTTTCCTTCTCCTTTTTTTGTTTTAATTCCTTAGACCTACTGATGGTTCATTTTGCATTCTGTAGTCTTACAAATAGCATGCAAGTTTAAACAGCTTTTTCATTTCTTTAAAAAGTTAGGATCAATTTTCTCAACATGTGAAATAACATATAATATTGAAATTTAGAATGAAAATTAGCAGTAGGACATCTAAGTTGCATATTAGGCAAGCAGGTGGTTAAGTGTGTTTGTAGGGGGCCAAGATCACCCTCATTCCTCAAGCTGATACTACCAAGGTCCTAAAGTAGGAAAAAACAATACTCCATATTTCATTACTGGTGTAGTTCTCTGTTTGTTTGAAATTTGTTATTTTTCTTGGAATTTAACACAGCTACCAGAAAGTTCAGCTTACCCCAATATTGACACCTATTTACTCTCAGCAAATAAATGTAGGTATTTTTACCATTAAAGTCATTATTCTTTATTACACTGTCGAAGAGTAACTGGAATACCTTTTATGAGTCGTAACCAATTCAACGGCATTTAACAATAACAACACACTATTAGTTAGGAGGCCAAAAATTTGAAGCATTTCAATACTAGCCGTAAGACAGATGCCTCAGAAGACAGGCTTGGAGATCAGTTTCTGCAAGGTCACAATCTTGGAAATCCTATGGAGCAGTTCTATTCTGCACACATGGGGTCACCATGAGTTAGAACTGCTTCCACAACAATGGTATAATGAAGTCCACTCAAAACCTTTCTATTTTACAATGCATAAAACTATCATCTAAAAATATCACCGCAACTTAAAATACATACATTACATAGGAACTCTTAAATTTGTGTGCTACTTTTATAAGCACAGTACAAAGGGTGGGTACTGCTCAAGTTTACACACGATATACATATCCCTTGTCATCGTTTTATTAGAATTCACTGGTAGGAAACTGATTTTAGGTTACATTTTGTTCTAGGATCTAGAATCCACAATTTCTAATACTTGCTGGGTATCTAAAGTGATCTCATTTTATAGGATTCGTTATAAAATTCAAAGACCAACTTAACTATAAAGCAGCAGTGTCACTATACTGAAAGGCTATAATTAATACACACATTTGCCTCCATTTTTAGGATAATGAAATAAAATCTAGTTCATAAGTTTTAGCAATCCTTTAAAAGGTAGATTGTATAATATGAGACGTATGAATTTGGAAGACATCTCATACTATAAACTCTTCAACTTTCAGATTTGATTCCTTTCAAATTTTATTACTTCATTAGCTCAGTCCATGGCTAAAGAAATTATATCCTACAAGAAAGGCAAAAAATTGCCACCCCAAACTTAATTAATTAATATTTCAAATAAACACAATGCTAATTTTTGACTATATACAAATAAGATCACTTAAAAATGTTCTGAAACATTTCCATCACTCCAAAATAAAACGTCATACACATTAAGTACCTACTTCTCATCACCCTCTCCCTCCAACCTCTGGCAACCTCTAACATGCATTCTGTTTCTGTGTAATTTGAGAGGTTTTTAAATTTATAAGTCAGTATTATATCATCTGTGTTCAGAGTCATTTTGCTTCTTAAAATGTTCTAATTATGCCAATAAAGTCTGCATGTTAGAGTAAGTCTGTTAAACTCTATATAACTCTAATTATTTTGAGAAAGCATCCTTTTTTGAACTGAGTCCTGTTGTTGTCTATGATCAAAAACTGGACCACAAGGTCAGTGTGAACCACAAGATTGGAAGTTCAAACTCACCATCCACTCCTCAGAAATGCTATACAGGATTGCTGAGTTGGAACCAATTCCACAGCCCTTAACAATAACAACAACAACTGTACTCAAGGGAGCTCAGTGACCTCATCCAACAACACTGGACATCAAACCACAAGGTCCATGGTTCAAGCCTGCCAGCAGCTCCACAGGAGAAAGATGAGGCTTTTTGCTCCCACAAACTTTTAAAACATCAGAAATCCTATACAGGGTTGCTATGAATCAGAACTGAATCAATGGCACTTTAACAACAACACTGAACTGAAATCTGGTCTGAGCAAATTCAGATTTATTATCTTGCTCTCGCTATAATTTTTTTCTCCTTCTCCTTTTTTTGTGCTAATTCCTTAGACCTACTGATGGTTCATTTTGCATTCTGTAGTCTTACAAATAGAATGCAAGTTAAACGGGTTTTTTACTTCTTTAAAAAGTTAGGATCAATTTTCTCAACATGTGAAATAACATATAATATAGAAGTTAGAATGATTATCTAATTCTAGGTAGATAAGTCACCCTTTGCAATATTTGAAAAAAATCTGCTACATGGCAAGAAAGAAAGAAAAAAAATTCCAATATTCCCCCATCCATTCTTTAAAAAGCAGGGGTTTCAATATTTCAACAACCTACTTCAACATTCTACTGACTTGATATGGTCTCAAAGTACATGACTTGGAAAAGGTCTAGAAAGCTATGTCAAATGTAAGCAGGACAGAATATAATACTACTGTTTCCTCTAATTATTTCTAAATTAGAATTTCAATATAATAATGCATTCCTCATTTTCCTAATTATAAAAATATACCATGGTTTATGAAGCTTATTTTAAAAAAAACCTTAAGTTAATGCCTCACTAATTACTGCAAGGAGTCCTGGTGTGGTATGGCAAGACAATGCACTAAAATGCAAGGTTGATTTGAACCACAAGGTCACCAGTACAAATATCCTTACTGCTCCTAAAGAAACTCTATACAGGGTCACTATGAGTCAGAACTGACTGGACGGTACTTAACAACAATTACTGTGAAACTAGTTTTCCAATTCTCTAGTCTCAAAGTAAATTTTGATGTGTTTTTAGTTTTTGAGTTGAACACTTTGTTTTCTGAGTCCTTGAAAACACTGATGAAGTATCTTGACTAGATTCAAATATAACAGAGACTTATAATACATTCCTCAAACGATACAAACTCTATTAGATATGCCTAGTCAACATGATTGGAAACACTTAAACAATCAAATTCCATGCATCACTTATTACCAATTTAATTTTACTTAGGTTGAAATTTACAAAAATATAATGACAAAGAAAAATCACTTACTTGTTCCTTCTATAAGCAGCTCTTGCCCATGACTACCCAACAGCGTACGAGAAAGAAAAGGTGCAAAATCCACAAAAATCTCTCGCAGAAGAGGTGCTGCCTTTTCCAAAGCATGTTCAAGCCTTTCTGTAATACTAATTAAAAAGGTGATAAATTAATAAACTGAACATCAGCATTTCAATTTAAATTGTTTTATACCAGAGTACATTCTAAAGAAATGTAAAATTATGTGAAAGATTATCCTGTGTATGCAGGGTTGATAGGGAAGGGCAATTTAGACATTGGCTACCTAAAATGGGGGGCTATAAAGGCATGAAGTAACTGGCTTACAGGTTTTCAAGAGGGAGTTTAGTTTCAGAGTGTGAGGGCCAAGGTAGAAGCCCCACTGAATAATTTTCATCTTGTCTAGATGGATCTGGTGAAAGGAGATGGGGATAAGATTCTTAGATTCAATAATGAGTAATTGCTATCATGATTAATTACAACTGTTAGAATTATAAAAGTAAAAGTTTTGTTTAAAAAAAAAAAAGGGCTCGGGGTGGTGGTGGAGTAGTTCACCTTACAGTCCAGGAACAGAGAACCCTAGGATCATCAAGGGAGAAGAGCACGAGTGGAATGTGGGACCCTATCCAGAGAAGCAGAGACACCAGAGACGGAAGCAGATAAAGGAAATGGAGAAATAGAGCAGTTGAAGACTCTAGACTCATGGAAAGAGAAAGGCTGTATGCTGGTGGCCAGGAGGCAGGCTTGCAGAATGTGACTTTTGGTTGTTTAAATGATTATATATTCATGAGTGTTTCTGTATACATCTCAAAAACAAAACACAGGGAACAGAAGCAAATACTGATGGTGCACAAAGGAGATTGTAAACATTGCAATGAAACAATGAGTATAAAACTTATGTTCTCCCATGTAAACTATCACTTAATTCACTATAAAAATTATTTTTAAATAATGTGAAAGATTAAAAATAACCTAAAGAGTCATTACCAACTAAGCTTATCCTAGAAGACCAGGCAAATAACCTGATTAACAACCACTACAAGCATCAACTCTTACCGGAAAATTTAACTGGCCAATTAAAAGCACTAACTTTTTAGCAATGTCCATCCATTAAAACCTAAAGAATCTCTAAAGTTCTTATCAAATCAAAATCTAAAGTTCTTATCAAACCAGCAGCAACTAAAGATCAAGAATTATGTTTTCTTAATTTCTCAGTTCTCAGCAACAGCACACAGTGCAGAGTCAATGTTTAAAAATTGAAAGAACCACTTTACATTCCATTTCATTGAATTCTATCTCTGTAACAATTTGTTTCTAATACAATTTGAACAACTTTACATTTTGAAAAGGCATACACTATACAAACATACTTATTATCATCTCAATTTACAAACTGCATAAATATCAATGTGTGACAATATGTACACATACATACATATATATTTTTGTTGTTGTTGTTAAGTGATGTTGAGTTGGTTCTGACTCATAATGACCCTGTACAGGGTTTCCAATGTTAATCTTTGTGGGAGCAGAAAGCCTCATAGCAGTCAAGCCACCATACTCATCTATATGTATACATATACACACATATATATGAAGTTCTGGTATAGCACCAATGGATATATATGGTGTCCTGGTACAGCACGTAAGGTTGGAGGTCAAACCCACCAACCACTCCTCAAAAACCCTGTACAGGATTTCTATGAGTCGGTACAGACTTGATGGCACTAAACAATATGTTGTTGTTGTTCTTAAGTGTAGTGGAGTCGATTTCAATTCATAGCAACTCTTTACAGGGTTTCCGAGGAACGAATGGTGAGCTTGAACCACCAACCTTGCGGTTAAAAGTGGCTTTGTAGTCCAGTGCATTAGCCTACAGTGCCACACCAACATATATATATATATATATATGTATGTTGTTTGGAGTCCTGGTGCGGTGCTGTATAGGATAAAAGTGGACCAAGGTTGATGTGAACCACAAGGTCAACAGTTCAAATTCACCAATCGCTCCTTAGAAACCTTATACAGGGATGCTATGAGTCCAAAGTGACTCCACGGAACTTAACTACACCAACAACATATATATATACATACACACAAATAAGTGTGTGTGTATGTATATATATATATATATGTATATATATATTGTTGCTGCTGTTGCTAATTGCCACTGAGTCTGTTCTAACACAAAGTGACCCTTTATAGGGTTTCCAAGGCTATAAATCTCTAAAGTAGCAGGAAACCTCATCTTTTTCACATGGAGGAGTGGCTAGTGGACTCGAACTGCCAACCTACCTTGTGATTAGCAGTCAAGAGCTTATTTTACAGAGGTACCATGCTCCCTACATATACATATACACACATTTACATTTAATGAATTTTTAAAGGTCCCTTTAGGAGACACTGAGCTTATGCTAAGGGTGACGGTACAATCTGGGAAAGAAGAAGTGTGGTGGTATAATGTGGGAACTGATATAGACAATGGTTGAACAACTTGAGAAAAATAATTAGTGTGAGTAAACTATACATATGAAGACCGTTAAAATGTCAAATGTTGCATACATGTTGTTGTTGTTAAGTGCCGTCGAGTCGGGTCCGACCCAGAGCGACCCTGTACAGGGTTTCCGAGGGTGTAAATCCTTACGGGAGTAGAAAGCCTCATCTTTCTCCCGCGGAGCGGCTGGTAGTTTCGAACTGCTGACCTTAAGGTTCGCAGCCCGATTCGTAACCACTACGCTACCAGAGCTCCTTATATATTTACCACAAAATAAATGAATAAAAGGCTAACACATAGTACTTCAGAAGTTTCACAGGTTTCCATAGCTTTCAATTCTAATTTCTAAATCAAAAATCGAAGAGGCTTCAAAACTTTGCGGAAACATTTCATTATCTTTTAAATCTATTTTCCACAAACTTATATATACAAGTAACCTCTATTCATGTCATATGGGTTTTCTTATTCACATTAACAAGAAAGCAATTCCTACTATATCAGGAGCACTAGTATGACCGTAATTAAGTGTTTAGTTGCTAACCAAAAAGGCAGTGGTTCAAATCCATCAGCTACTAAATGAGAAAAATACAGGAGAGCCTGCTTTTGTAAAAAAAAAAAAAAAAAGATTTACAGACTTACAAACTTCATGAGGCAGTTCTACCCATCTATTGTTGTTAAGTGCCTTCAAGTTGGATGCGACTCACAGTGACACTCAATGGGTTTCCAAGGTGTGGCTGGTGGATGTTAAACAACAATCTTGTGTTTAGCAGACCAGTGCTTATCCTACAGAGCCACACCAGGTAGGTGGCTACAAATCAGAAATGAATGTATGACAACGGGTATTAACATATACACTGAAACTATCGGCTGGAAAACTGGTGAAAATTTCTGCTGTCAGTAACTACCTTATCAGTTATAAGGTAGTTTTTCTCTATGTATTTCAAAGATGCAGAGGCTCTCGTGCCTGGATGGTATCATAACTACAAATCCATGTTTATGGAGAAAATACTGCTATGGATATTTTCTGTGGGCTAAGAAGGATCAAGAACTCTATAGCTATTAAGACTCTATTGGGGGAAATGCATTCACAGCATCCCAACCCACAATTTGAAGTTTTTATTCCCTGTAAATAAGGTACATGACCTAATACCATAATACAGCATCATTGCAGCTATGGTTCACTGGCCATCACTCAATGTTACAACAGTTCTCTAAGAAGGGGAACTATACATTGCAAACTCTCAATTAACAATCAGTTGAAATATAAGATATAAGCAAGTTTATGAATATAGTACTTGTTATACACTCAGTATTTATTGCCTATCACAAAAAAAAACCTCTTAATTTAGCTCCCATGTATCTTCTCATGTCATAATCATTTAAATAAAAATGAACTCGTATATTATTCCAAAATCTCTAAATGTCATATATGTTGAAAGAGAGAAATAAAACAAGAAATGCACATAGGTAAATAAAAAGGTCGTAAAAGGAATCAATCACAAATAACCACTTTTGCAGCTTCAATACCTCATATTTGAAACTGTGTCTTGGGGAACTGAACCAACTGTTGGAACCGTGGGTAGTTTTGCTTGAGATGATCTACTACCTATAAAAGAAAAATGTCCATTACTAATTGGAGAACATTGAAATATAATAATTAACAAGGTTTTTTCTTGAGTTCTTTAATATACAAATTTCCTAGTTAAAAGCTCAATTATCATTTCAAGCAATCCTAGTATTCAGGAGCTGAAAAGACAATAGAAAATCCAGACTCACTAAACTGGGTTCATGATTCCATTATATTTGGTAAAATAAGTTTTACAAGTATGAACATTTTTTTAAATGAAGCAAAAAGCAAACAGTTAAATATAAATTTGACTTTAAATAATTATGTTTTCAGTACCAGAAAAACATTTTTTTTCAGTTATCTAATAATGCCAGTCGTACCCTGACTGTCCCTGACTCTAGTATGGTAAACATAATCTGAAATATCTGAGATGAGTCAAGCTGAATTTTTTACCTCCTCATTTGTGTGCTCAAGGGAATTAGTATATAACTTTTTGTTACATTTGTCATATTATATTACAAATGAACTTTAGAATGCCCATCATTTTACCATACTTTTTAAAAGCAGAACCCTCAATTTTCCCTAGTGCTTAGAGACCCAGATATAGGGGTCCTCAATTAATAATCATTGCAGAATATTACACATACCCATATCCAAATTTTTATAGGTTATTCTTTGTACATAGTATACACTATCCTTTCTATTTCCTACTACTTATACTACGGTATTTGTTTCAAACTGTAGTATAAATTGTAATAAAAGACTGCTATCTACCATGTCAAGTTTATTCTTTGAAATCAGTGCTCCCAGATATTCTGGAGGTTGTTATGTAGTATCTAGCCAGCTATGACTATAATCAACTCTATGCACAGCAGAAGGACATAGTGCCCAGTTCACACTAGCCTCACAATTATTCCTGTATTTAAGCCAAAAGTTTATCTATCCATCTCATTGGGGATATTCCTCTTTTTCACTGTCCCTCTACTAAGCATAATATCCCTTTCGAGGGACTGGTCCTTCCTGACAACATGTTCAAAGTACATAACACAAGTCTCAACATCCTTAATTCAAAGGAGATTTCTAGCTGTACTGCTATCGGTTAATGTTCCAGACTGCAAAGCCGTTTGAACATCAAGGTCAGCGGTTCAAGCTCACCAGCTGCTCCTCGGAAACCCTATACAGGTTCGCTATGGGTCAGAACTGATTCGACGGCACGTAACAACAACTTCTTCTAAGACAGATTTGCTTGCTCTTCTAAGTAAAAGCCATAAATTCTTTATTACGTCTTCCTTATTCATTGTCCAATTTCCACATGAGACAACAACTAAAAATACCAAGGCTTGTGTCAGCTCTAAAAATGACATCTTCTCTCTTTAAGCTTTTTAAAAAAGTCTTTTGTACAAAGATCTCTACTATAATATGTCCATTGATTTCTACATTGCAGCTTCCATGAGCAGTGATTGTGGATCCAAGAAAAAATGAAGTCTTTGACAACT